ATTCATATCTCCTTGGTAACATTACTTGGCAATGGTAACTGTTACGATCTTATTCATAGTGCTTTGACTCTGCAGACTGTCTGCAGTAGCTAGAGGCACAAAGTTGGCGGGTAAAAAGCCTGCCACGGCTTTTCAGAGCACATTGTCTGGCCTGATTGACAACACCAACCGACAGAAAGCGCCAAAAATGGAATACAACATATAACATCCAGTACACATTGGCATTGGAAGGTCTTCACAGAATTAGACAGAATTTTGGCTAACGTAAATAAAATGCAACTGTAAACTTCAAAGCCATATACACAGCACAAAGCAAAAGACCAACTAGTATAGTAGTTTGGAGTAATTGCTCCCCCAGGCAAGGTCATGGGTTCGAGTCTTAGCATCTGTGTTGTGTGTGTGAGTTTAGTATATTATCGCCCTTCTCAATAGGAAATGTCCTAAAATATATATACACAAAGGACAAAGGGTAATGGTACACAAGTCACAGAAATACCGAAAACAATATGCTAAAAGTAAGGTCTAATTTTAGCAATGGAAGGAAACACTAACCAATGTAAAATGAACCTGAAGCTCCTTCAGATTTCTAAGACTTGCGATATTCAGTCATTGGACCTTCCATAACTAGGCGTGAACAGCTGGCCAATTGCCTCAATTGCAGAGACATTCCAACTCTCAGCATGCCTTACAATCTGTTAAACCAATAGTGGCAAGCACCCATTAATAACTGGCAAAAACACCATAAGTTAAGTATCACTATCCAGCATATAAAAGCGCTTCTGTTCTCACTTTAAACTTATCATCTAAGTCATAGACCGTGCTTCCATCAATGCTAATGAGAGGCCTCCACGGAAGTTTCAGGTAGGTCCTGCAGACAAGATGAAATTTTTTAGGCTGAACCCACAGCTAGGGGTTGAAAGGATTGCAGTAAGGCTCACACAATCAGACAGAGAATCAATTCAAAGAAGGGGTGGAAAAATGTTGCTAGTCTCAATTTCAAAGGCCAAAACTGACATTGAAAATAAAGGGCAGGTCATTTCTCTGCCCCTATACATTTTAATGCAGTCAAACCTATCGCACCACACGAAATAGGTGGTTTGCTTGCTTCAGATTAGTAATCAGTGCCCCTCTAAATTAAAGAACAGTAGACCAAGTTAGAACCTGAGTTTCCATGTTGCTAGCACAAAACTTGCTTCAGTATTGATACCCTGCAGAGAGTCATATTATTAATTGTTACTAATCCAATTGAACTTATCAGTCATTACAAATCCTACTGAGGTTAAAACAACTAAGAAAATAGTCATGACAAAGAAACTTTTAAGTGAGGTAAAACGCAAGCCACTCCTTCCAAGAAAGATAAATTTCGGACAGAGTTCATATGTAATTAACTCAGATTTGTTTGCTCTTGGCTTCAAATGAAGCACACATTAATCAGTTAACATGCTAAATGTTGCTGTGATATATCATATATATCTTAGATTATAGTACTGAAATCCAACTACAATCCACTGAGAAATGACTACCTTCTCGATCTTTTCTAATCCAACTGATGGAGATTCAAAGAAAGGAACAAGCAATTTCAAGTTGCGAGAATACAACTCCTTACCTAAACAGCCAAAGACCATGCAAATTAGAGGCTTCATAATTCTCACATAAATTAGCACACAAGGAATTATTGCACACACTGTCCTAAATTTTTACAACCAGGGAAGGGACAAAGAGAGAAGTGAGTGGGGCAAACTTGATCATGTGATCAGAATCTATCAGACAAGCAAACATCTTTTTACATGCGTATGTGTGTGTTCATTACAGTAGATAGTACCAGTGAAACAAAATGCAGTTACACAGTTCGGTAACATTAATTGAAGGAAAACTGAACAGTTTAGTAAGATTTAATGGGACAATGGTTGCCTTCGGATTTAGTGTGGACAGATTACAAGTTCTCTCTTTTCTTTTGGAACTTGGATTACAAAAGGCAAAACTGACACACTGCTTCAATGTTTTCGATAGGTTATGCCGAAAATATGCTATTAATAGACATTTTCTCACCTCGAAATCTGATAGTTGGATCTTCAAAGATACAATCTTCAGCGTAGATTGCAGAAGTGAAAATCCCTATTTGCAATGGAAAGTAAGTTTACTACATAGAGTAGAAGAGAGAAATAACACAGGAAGGTGTCTCTCAAAGAGTAAGGTACCTGTAACAAAATACGCATTCTCGTAATCAGATTTGAGAATCATTAAAACTTCATCAATGCCCGAAACTGAAAACTCATCTCTCCCTTTATCACTCACTCCATTCAGTCTGCAATGTATTTATCAAATTAAATAACAGAAAGCTCAAGAATTCAAATTCAAATTCAAAGTTTTAGGGCCCATTTTATAACCTTTTCAATTTTAGTTTTTAGTTTTCATTTTTCATTTTTTGTGCTAGAGTATATAGAGGAAAATGAGAGTGAGAATCGGAGTGAAGATGAGATTGAGAGAGAATGAGAGGGGAGAATGGGAGGGAGAGTAACAAAAGAGAAAACAAAAACTTGCAAGTGAAAACAATATCAAATAGATTTCAGTTTTTAGTTTTTGTTTTCACTTTTGGTACTCCTTCCTCCTCTCTCATCTTCCCTCTCAATCCCATCTTCACTCTCATTCTCACTTCCATTCTCCCTCTTTTAACTTTTTCCTCTATATTCTAGCAAAAAAAAAAAAAGAAAAAAGAAAAAAGAAAACTAAAAACTAAAATTGAAATAGTTATCAAAAGGTCCCTTAATTTTTAATTTTTCTCCTTGTACATTTTCTGAGGAAACCAAACGGGAAATGAAGCGAGGGGTAGAATGGGAAAAATACCTGGTTGTTTTGCTGAAGGAAGAGAGAAGCCTGAGAAGCTCAGTGACGCCGCTCACAGCGATTTTCAAAACCTGTGGGGTGTCTCTCTTGTGATTGTTGTTATTTCTGTTGTTATCCGGTGCGGCTGAGGAGCATCGGGTGCCACGGAATGTCTGGCAAATGAACGGTCATAAATGGGCCAGAGATACACCAACGCTCAGGAATTCAAGCAAAATTGATAATTGAATTCTACGTTACCTTGGACTGCAAGAGCATAGGAAGTCGTACACTTGCAGTGCAACTGTAACACAATCCTCCCGCCATTGTTTTGGCGGGTATAGATTTCGCCAAGTCTGTTAAATACAGTTGGAGAGAGAGAGAAGTGCAAGGGTCGGTTCGGGTCGGATTTGGCGGGCTAAAACCATAACCGTTAAAACAATTTTGGGTTTGGAGAAATTGAGCCTATTGTGTTGACGACCAAAACACCGAGCCCAGTGAACCCAAGATGTATGGGCCCGGGTTAAATTGAAAACGCATAATTAAACGCATCTAAACGTGACACGTGGAAAGTAAGACAAACAGTGAGAATGAGGAAGACTCGGTTTCTCGGTTGGTCCAGATTCATCTTCTTATTATTCTCACTGATTATCATCACTCTCTCTGAAACGCAAGCGATTGACTGACAGAGCATCTTCTTCAGCGTAGCGAAACAATGGCCGAGGAAGCGAGCGGCAAACGCCCACTCAAAATCGTAGCAGGCGCCGACTCCTTCGGCTGCTCTCTCAAAGACGCCTTAGTCTCCCACCTCCGCTCTCTCAACATCGACGTCGAAGACCTCGGCACCTCCTCCTACTACTCCATCGCCGCCGATGTCGGCCGCCGCGTCTCCTCCTCCTCCTCTGATGGCGCCGTCGAAACCCGCGGCCTCGTCGCCTGCGGCACCGGCGTCGGAGTCGCCATCTTCGCCAACAAGTTCCCGGGCGTGTTCGCCGCCACGTGTCTCAACCCCTCCGAAGCCCAAAACGCTCGCTCCATCAACAACTCCAACGTCCTCGCCGTGTCCGGCATGTCCACCGTACCGGACTCCGCCATCGAGATCCTCGACACCTGGCTCAACACCCCTTTCAAATCCCCCTGTCCCGCCTCCGACTCCAAGCCCTGGCCTCCAGAAATCGAGACTTTTCTCGACAATTCGATTAAAGAAATGCCCAAAATTGGAGCTGAAGAAGAAAAGCAAGCAGCTTTGGGTTCGGAGGAGGCTTCGTGTACTCTCTGTTGTTTGGTGAAGAATCGGAAACTGAACCCGATTGATATTATTCCTGGAGGGTCGATGAAGATTCTGAGAGAGACACCAACATCGGCGATAGTCAGGTTCAAGGCCGGGAGCGTCGAGCCGGCGCATCACCACACGTTTGGGCACGACTTGGTTGTGTTGGAGGGGAAGAAGAGCGTGTGGAATTTGACGAAGAAAGCGAGGTATGATCTGGGTGTCGGAGATTACTTGTTTACACCAGCCGGGGATTCGCACAGAGTCAAGTACTATGAGGATACTGAGTTTTTTATCAAATGGGAGGGCCAGTGGGATATGTTCTTTGATGAGGAACTTGAGGCTGCACACAAGGCTGTTGATCAGGAATTGGAGAATGGGTCGAAGTGAGAATAATCAATGGCAGCTTGGGTTGTGGAAATTTCAGTACTTGCTGGTTGTGTTCAAGTCTTGAAGAATCAGACGATGCTTTATGTGTTATTAAGTATTTTGGGGATGCTTGTTCAATATGGTCTTTCTCTGTAATGAAGTGCTACTTACTTACTAGTATTTAGCGTAGTTTGTGTTTGAATAATAAAGTTGTGTTGTGTTCTTGATGCAGTCACACTTATGGTGCAATATTAGTATTATTATTACTTTGGGTTTGATTTGCCTGCTTTTGCTGTGTTGTGTTTCTGTCTGTTCATGGGATTGTGCAGGTTGCTACTGATTTACTAGTGCAATTGCTTAACTTGCTATCTTGCTCAAATGCTGCCTAAAGATGAAATGTGAATTATCAACATAATACGGTGTTCTTTTCTTTATTAATGTTTTCTCATCAGCAAGACAAAGCGTAACTGTAAACTAGGTAAGTTGCCTCATTCAGTTTTTCCTCTTGAGCTTTCAAAGGAGGCCAAGGTATATTATTGGATGGGATGTGTTAATCAGACCACCCTGCAATGTTCAATGATAAACCGGAGCTCTCATTCCTCACAAAGAGCACAAAATATGCATATTACATTTCATCATGATCACCAAATCTACATTCTTCTCATAACCTTTCTATACTTTTATATGATATAAACCATTGTAAATCATTTGATAATAAACAAAGTGCACTTGTGTCAAAGTCACCGCCTGTCTCGACGACATTTTGATTTGAGGTGGTTTTTCTCAGTGCTAACTAATGAATCACAAATGAAAATGTGTTAGACAAGACTCAGCTCATCAGTAGTATTAGCAGCTTTTGTGCATTCCCCAGAATCTTGGGCCGCAAGCTTCTTTCGCAATCCCACCAACTCTTCCCCAGCATCACATATATACGCAGAAGCTTGCCTGCCAGACAAAGTTGCCCCTTCCATGCTGTCTATATAGTCCTGTAAAAGGTACATCCATTTAGACTTTACAAACTTGACAATTTCCTTTCATCATTCTTCTTCTATAGCAAAATCAGTTGCATAAACTTACTTGTTTTGTGTATGAGCCGGCAAGGAAGAAATTTTTTACAGGTGTCTTCTGATCAGGTCTAAAAGGATCTTTGCCAGGTGCCTCCCGATAGAGAGATTGCCCAATTTTGACAACAGATGACCAAGTGACTTCTAAACCTTGGGATGATGGGAATAAAGCCAAAACCTTGAATTTCAAATTTCAAAGTTCAGAATTTGATTTTTTATCGATTTCTTCTAACTGCAGACGAACTTGCTTAAGGTATGAAAATGCGCACTTAATAAGCTAATTACCTGCTTCGTCACTCTTGCTATAATTTCTTCGTTTGGTAAAGGCATGTAAGGATCACCTGGTGTCAAAACGCATCTGCAAGACGAAGAAGCATCAGAGCTAAGTTCAAAATTGTAAAAGTGCAAATATTTCTGAAATACAAAGATGGACAAAGGATCAATAATCTCACATTAGAATGGATTTTGACACACTGAGATGCAAAATGAACTTTCAAGAAAGCTCATAAAGTTTTATTTGAAAATTTCAAAATAAGGTGTCTGGTTATTTAATTTGTAATCTCTACTTGTAAAACCTAAAGATTGAAAAAATGTGATAACAATAATTCACATGTTTTCCTTACTGGAGGAGTGAACCTTGTCCCTCAATGTAGTAATCTTCCGGGGAAGTAAGTGCTAGGTCCGCAAAGCAAGAGAAATCTGCATCGGGAGTATAAAGAAGATTATCTAATCCCAAAGCTTGCTTCAATTGCCTATCAAACACAAGTATCCTTGTCCATTAGTCTTGAAGAAGTGAACAAAAACCAATTTCTACAAGGTCCTTCATACAAAAGCAACCCCTTTTCACATGACAAGTACTTCAGTATGTAAGGGAGCATCACCTTGATCGTTCTAGATCTTGTAACTCTGTAACCCAACCGTCATATCTAAGTTGCACAGTGACAACAGGAACTCCAACTAGCTCATAAATATTATTGAAAAAATCCCATTCCCTCCACCGAGGCGGAAGCAGTCTCTTGATTCCGGGCACATCACACGCTGTTAACAAACGAAATAGTTTGAGAGAAAAACTTAATCAACCGAAATCGGAAATAGTATTTCAAATTAGGAAGGAAAAAAAGCAGCAAAAGTAAACCACAAACCTGCAACATAAGCGTCAGCTTTCACAATTTTCTTATTAGTAGCCTACAATAAAAACAAAACATTAGGTATTTACACTAAGGAAGCCCAATTTCCACCAGAAGCATCTAAATTCAACACAATAAAAGAAGCAACATGATGAGTGCATTACCTTGGACATGGCAATTCCTGCGACATATGTTTCTCCATCAGCAGATTGATCATACAGTATCTCTCTACATCCCCACCTAAGATGAAACCTGTTACAACAGAAAAAGAGATTCCAAGTGCTAAGAAATCAACTTATATATGAGAAATATAAGAACAAACATAAATCATGATCTCATCATTGCCATGCAAAGCTCATATTTACCTGCCCCCCTTGTCAATAATATACTTTCTGATGGGGCCACTTAAGTAAACATCTGGAGAACCCTTGAGCATGCGTAGCAGGGAAGCCTCAGTCTTAGTGGCAAACAACGTGAATATAGTGAGCATACAACGAGCACTAATATTATCACAGTCAATAAACCCAAGTGCATATGCAACAGGATCCCACATCCTCTGGATACTCATTCGTGTGCCACCTTTGGACAAGAACCAATCAGAGAAGCTTATCTGTAATTAACAAGTAAGATTTTAAAAAGTTACAACAACTGTGTGAAAAATAATAACCATTTAAAATTGAATTATGAACATGGAGAAAATGAACTGCAGAACATTCCCAGACAACTTTCACAGGTACACAATATGAATGGAGACCAAAATAAACGATAACGATAGCTTTGATTCTTACACTATCCAAATTCCGTACATCCCTCAATGCTCCATCTGGATCAACCAGAGCCTTTACAACTGGACTTAACGCAAGAGCCACTGCATTCCTTGCTTTATCATAAGTCTGCACTTGAACAATAGTATACAGGAAACCATTAACAGAAATCTAATTGAGCAATAAGCTCCATTACAATTCAGTTCACTTCCAAGAGGAACTCTAAATGATAACAGGGAAAAAGACATATGAATATTTTTCTTTTACTGTTTTCCTGGTTCAAGGCCAAAGCAATGCTTCATTCTTTATACTGGTATCCAAAGTAATGAGACATGACAATGCTTGCAGTAAACCCAGTAGCAGTGGCAATGGGGAAACCTACCTTAATCTGATTTGTAGACAAAAATGCAAGAATCCCATGTATTGGTGCTCCAATTGGGAACCGAAAATCAAGCTCTGCGATGGAAGATTAAGTAACAGATAAGGTACATTGTTTATGAATAATTCATAAATGAAAATTGTGACATACAAGATAGAGCATGGCTAGAAGAAGAAAGATTTATGAGCAAATAAGATCAAGCACCAAGACATACCACCAATGTTACCCCCTTTGTTTACAAAAGTGTGAGTATGATCCTTGACAAGTAGATTTTCGTCTGCACCCACCTGTTTAAGTGGAGATCCAAGAATAAAAAAAGAATAATAAAGTTGTTTATAAGGACTTTTCCCAGAATATCAGGATCACCCAAATGTCATAGCAGTTCAACCAAGCAATATTTGTTCACCTTTTTCATTAATCGGAAAAGATTACTGTAGCAACCAAAGAAAACATGGAGTCCCATTTCAATGTGGTTTCCACGCTTATCAACAAAGGAGCCCACTTTTCCACCAATGAAAGGCCTTGACTCATATATATCCACCTGCAGAATTTACAAAGAACACATGTAACGAATTTCCTAGAAAGAAACAACCTAGCGGAAAATCTTAAGTGAGCCACTGAAACGTTTCAGCCAAAGTTTCCAATTTTAAAACTTTAACATATACTGAAGTAAAAAACTAAACTGAAAGAAACATACAATTCAGACATAATTGTGAGCAGCCGGAGGACTAGAAAATAAATTGGACGAACCTCGTGGCCTTGATCCAAAAGCTCAACTGCTGTTGACATGCCTGCAAGCCCAGCTCCAATTATAGCCACTTTCAGCTTGGGACCTCGGTAGTGCTCAGGTTCAGGTGGAAACAACCCTTTTGGAGCTGGCAGAGTAAACATTCATCTCAGAATACTAACTTAATAGTGCGCTCAGCACCAGTTTCCTCAAATTCATTATAATTCACGAAAAGTAAGAATACCCAGAAATCAAAAGAGATAGAATAACAATAAAAAGAGAGATAATTGTCAAATTGAAGCTAAAAAAGATGGGAACTTTACCATTTACACTCATGTCAGAAACATTTGCGTCCAGAGAAGACCGAACGCAGATGGAGGAGGACCTCTGAGTTCTCACAGGAGCTACTAGACAGCGACCGGTTACTGGAGCTACCGGTAAAAGAACCCAAGAAGCCATAGATTGAAGCTTCTAAGAATCAACAACTTAAATTGAGCACTCTCTCCTATCTCTCTCCCTCTCCCTCCCTCTCTCTCTCTCTCTCTCTCTCTCTCTCTCTTAAGCAGTAGTGGTCTGTGTAAAGAAAGAGAGAGTGAAATGAAACTAGCTTTGAAGCATATAATGGAGAGAGAGAGAAGAGGTATCAGGAGTGGAGGAGATGCTGAGGGTGAGAATTTGTCACGTAACTGAGACTGAAAAGAGAGCACAAATTTGGAGGAACCCAACATTTATATGTGCTGCTTGATTGTCTCATGTTTGTGTTTATTAATATAATATAATTTGCCTTCACACAATGCTATGTGGGGCCCACCATATGACTACATGACACGAGTTTGAGAAGACCCTCTTATTTTTTGTATTGTTTGGAGAGGTTATTGCGGTTGGTCTGGAATCTGTTAGAGAAGTTTGCATAAAATGGGTGAAAGAGAAATTCAAAGTGAGCAAAGCTGTAACGTGGAAAGTGGTGCTCCCTATAACGATAATGCGCCACTAAGATTTGTATTTAAGATTATTGAAAGTGAAATAAAGCAAGCATCGTCATCATCACGAGTAAGTATGAGAAATGGTTTTCATTGCAAAGAAATGGAGATTTCATTACATATTTGAAGAAATAAAACCTCATTTAAAAAGTACAAGGAAGATCATGATTCATGTGTGGCCATAGTTTTATTTTCTCGAATAATCAATTTAATCTTGTCTCTGTGTCTGTCTTTTTCTAGCGGCTGCAACAACATTGTAGTTGCTGGGTTTGTACCATGCAATTCCCGTCTTTGAATTGTTTGGCTTTGCATAATGCAAAACAATCTGCATCTCTAAATGTGTTTGAGCAGAGTCCATAGCAAAAAGGGTCAATCGGCTGCGAGTGATCATCTGTTAGCAACTAGTTGCTGTTCATTGTGATGCAATTATATAAGGAAAATAAAATAGATCTGCAATGCAACTCTTTTCCCAACTTCACATGAAGTTTTGCAAAAACATGATGAATTTCAAGCGACCAAGTTGGAAAAAAAAAAAGTTAGGTGCTAGAATCATTTGGAAAAACTAGCAGTGAGAGAGATAGGAAGAGTACGTGAGGTTGCTAAAAGGGCAGACACAGCCATGGCAGCAAGGAAAACCAAAAGAAACTTTTGGGATTTCATGTTATGATTCTCTTGTTGTCCTTGAGAAAGCGTATTAGATTGGATGCATGGAAGGATTGAAGAACAACGGTTTATATATACGTAACCAAGAATAAACCTTTTGTATCTAATGCTGCATGAATGAGATCCAACGTTTTATTAGTAATGCTGCATGACATGAGACCCAACTTTTAAACTTATACCAACTATATATATCTTTCAGGCGTCATGAAAATATTCCTATAAACTTTTACCAACTATTTTGTAGTTAATTCCTGTAAGTGGTTCTTATGGAGCTGAGGTTCATGGAAAGGGCATCCAAAATTGTCATTTCACTGAATATGCAAATGTGAAAATCTTTATCCCCCAATCTGTCTCATATTCTCATCTTTGAACAGAGTATATGATGTTTTCTTTATTATAACACCAACACATGATTACCATATGAATTAGCTTTATAAAAACTTGAAAGGTTCATATGATTCAAATGTATCATAGATTGTATTATACCATTGTTTTTCGAACCACATAGAACAGTCTTGCTTTGGCATGAACTGTTCTACATGTTATGAATTACAATGCAAATGGTGATCATATAAAACCAGGAACCAGTAAGATGTAATGCAAACTGAACTGCTTTGTCAGTATCATTTTGCATAACACCATTCTAAGAACATAATCACCCTAGCTATCTTTTCTGCACTCAAAAATCAAATTAGTGATAGATATAGCATATAACAGAACTGAATAAAAAATTAATCTATATTAAGGATTCAAGGGATTGTGAACTAGGCTCTGATACCAAATGTAAGACTTTTAAAATAAATTGCTGCCGTTTTAAGGAAACTCACAATACCACGATCACTTACATGATGAAGGCATGCTTGTTAGAATGACAAGATCTTCTGCAACTCTCGATCATCTTAAGCACTACAATCAATGTACTAGGGGTGTGAATTCTACAGTTAATCATCAATGGACTAGCATAGTTTGATTATGATTTCTACTTGTGCACATGAGTTTGAGTTCCACTAGGATTGAGTGTGAAGCCCTTAATTAAGCTTACACTGGGATCTTGTCAATTGTTCAACTCTGGTTTTTTTGTTCTCAGCTGACAATGACAGCGAGAATTTGCCTTTTTTCAAAAAGGCCAAAAACAAATAAAGTATACAAATTTATGAATAAACCCAATCCTAGACATGTATTTATAAAAAAACCCAAGCACTATTTAAACATAGAAACACACCCAAAATCAACCCTAAAGTCAACTTTTTGGGTGTGTTTATAAATGAGTTTTGAGTGTGTGTAATGATGGGTTTTGGGTGTGTTTATATGTTTAAATAGTGCTTGGGTTTTTTTATAATTTCAACTCCCATTTTGGGTGTTTTAGTGAAACTCCCAATAAAATATTGCATTTGCATTGGGTTGGAAATAGGTTGGACTTGGTGGGTATAGACCCAAACTAAAAGGCCCAAAGCACGACAGAGCGAAGGGGCTAAATCAACTTCACCACTCGGTCTTCTTTTACACAAGGAAGGCGCTAGCCCTCACCGCCGTCATCACAGGTAACAACTCCGTCGAAAAACATAGTTGAGGTCATCTCTCTCTCTCTCTCTCTCTCTCTCTCTCTCTCTCTTTCTTCCTTATTTTTTGAGTTTGTTTATCTGCTCCTTTTTCTTTTTCTATGCTCTCGTTTTTTTATTTATTGATTTAGTTATAGTTCGTCCGTTGCGGGTAAATATTGAAAATAACACGGAAAAAACTGATTTTGGGTGAGATGAAGATGAAAAGGTTTCTTCTTGAGCAGATTGAGCTGAGGCAACGTCGGGCTTTGTTTCCTTCCACCTTTAGAGATTATACAACATCTTAATTTTTTTGCATTTGTTCCATTCTAGGAGTAAGTGAACTGAGGTTAGGATAATTTAATAATTTTAGTGGGAAAACATTAGCTTTTTGAAACTGGGTACTAATCCAAGTTTGGGGAAATTCAGCTTAGTGGGCAATTTTTTTTTTTCTATTGTACTTTAATATTTTGATGTTATCTCTCTCTCTCTCTCTCTCTCTCTCTCTCGCGCGCGCGCGCGCCTAGTTTGTTCAGGTTTTGGGACTCTCTATTGTACTTTATATTAAAATCATTTTATTGACTTGTAGTGAATTGGGTTCTACGAGAAAAAACCAAAAAAAAAATTTTTGTTTTTGTTTTTTTGTAGTGAATATTTGCAATGCTTCCCTTTTGTTATTGTTTCAGTATTTTTTTTATTAGCATCTACCATTTTTCAGGCGTAAATACATTATAAGTATAAAAAAAAGTTCAAGTTTACTTGATACGTATAAATATGATGGGTAATTGTACTTTGGTATTTCCCATTTGCCTTTACCAGTTTAGTCAACATAAACAATGGCAGTAATCTTTCTTTTGTTTATGAGTTTTGTATAAATAGGAATTTTATTTATCTGAGTTATTAAAATAGCCTGGGCTTCTTGCCAAGATAGCTGAACAAAATGAGCTTTTTTTGCCTTCAAGTAACAAATACAACTGTACACATAACTATGCTTGAGCCATTCCCTTTTTCACAAGCATGTCGTAAACCCTATCAACTTTGCATGGTTACAGACTATGGGCATCAGATTTCTTCTTAACATTGCCGTTCGGAATTTCTGTGGAGATGGTCTGCAGCATGTTCAAATAATGTGAAGGTAGGATTCTCATCTCACTGCAAAGTCTTTGTTCCTGCATGTATTAAAAAAACATATCAACAAACAGAATTTGCTTTCTACGCTAAAGCATTAGACTCTGAGATTGGCATTCTTACGGTTTGGGAGAGTAAATTGGGCCCGACTAGCCCAGTGATATCCCAATAGCCCAAGGAGCTGGAAATAGCTGGCGTAGTTAAAAATGAGTCCTTGCTAACAAGATGCAGACCTGTGGATTCCTAAAAGGGTCCCCGAGGACTGATCTGCAAGCCTTTACCACTTAGACTAGCCTGAGAGCTTTCTCTGATCCTCAAGGAACTTTCTTCAGTTTCCTTCTTCCTCTTCTCCTCAAGGTATCTGCTTGCTTCAGCAGCTGTCCTACAGCCAGCAGTTCTAGCATCCTGCATAATGAATGCAAAGCAGAAGCCATACAACGTGATCGCTTATTAATTCGAGCTGCATATGAGCTTGTTAGTCATGTTAACTGTGGGAAGCCATGGTGCTTTTTACTTAGAACGATGCAAAACCATGTAACAAGCATAATGTCACCTTTGTCAATCACTTAATCTAGTGTTGTTACCAATACTTACTGATCTGGAGCAACCAACAGTCATAGTATATACTGTATATAGAGGGAAATAAGGTAACAGAAATAGAAGTCAAGTGTGAGGCATGCATCAGACCTGAAGATCTATTATCCTTTTGACAATCTGTTGTTCCTTAATGATACTCTTGAGCAATTCCTTGTGCTCTTCATTTGAGTGGAACTGCATGAAAACCTTGAAGCGGTGATATATTTCTCTCTCATCAGGTGGGAGGTTCTTCTCAAAAGGGTCAGGGTATAGCATATTTCTTTCAAGTTTGAAATCCTTCCTACGTTTCCTGTCATCCAGCCTGCCAAAATTCCCACATATTATTTGAGTATATGTAGGGAAGCAAGGGAAACTTAGACAGCAAGCCTAACTATTTTTTATAATGAGGATATTACTTGTATGAAAGTACGCATGATGAGTGAAGGATTAGGTTAAAGAAATTCCTCTGAACCTAACGAAAATAATCACTTAGGAAATACTTATATGAAAGTATGCATGATGGGTTAGGAAGAAGAGCTTAATAAGATGAGCAAGTGAAGGTAGGCGTTCCCGCTAAAAGTAACAATAGGGAAAAAAATAAAGAGAAAAAGAAAAGTGGTCGCTAAGTCACTTGAAGAAGGTGTCAAATTGCCCTAATTTGATTTTGGAAATCCCTAACCCTAAGCCCCTAACAGCCTTTCCCTCCATATCTCTCTTAGCCTCAGCAACCCGCCACCGCCGCCACCACAGCCTGCTCTCATTCATTAGGCCTTCATCAGCATCGTCTCTGCTCAGTAATTATTTCTCCTTGTTTGTTAGTGTTCATTGGAAAGTTGGCAAATTTTTGCTTAGATGGGATTAGTTGGGCACCATTTTTTTAGATAATTGTGGTTGTGAAGTGATAGCTAGTTGGTTGCTTGGTTGAACCCATCTGGTCAGCCAGTTCTCTTTGCTCTTTATTGATATGTGAGCATTCACAGTGACTGCCTTTGCTTAGACTTAATTGTTCACCTTGATTTAGCACACTGTAGAATGTAGATTTTCTCTTTGCTAAGCGTTAATTTTTTTTATTTTTTTTTCTGTTGTCTCCTGATATCTATTAAGTTAGTTGTATCATAAACGTTTTTCATATTACATGTTCAGAAATGGTGGGACTATCCATAGGAGAAAAGCATTTTATACAGGGTGGCATTGCTCAGGATCTTCGATCTGATGGCCGAAAAAGATTGACAACTCGGCCCATCTATGTTGAAACTGGAGTCATTTCCCAGGTTAATGTTCTATCATATGTTTCTTTTGAAAGGAAGTTTCTTTTTTTTTTTTTTTTTTTGGGCCTTGTTTTGCCTAAACCAGGTTTTGAATTTTCAATTATAGATTTTCCTGGGTGACGTGAAATTTTACTTACTTTGTTATAATCCCTGTTCTTGATGGCGTCCATGCAGGCAAATGGTTCAGCAAGGGTCAGGATGGGTGCCACAGATGTCATTGCCAGTGTGAAGGTATCATTTAGTCTTGGTCTTAAGCTCATACTAGTGCTTTTAGAATGTTATGACTAAATTTACATTGTTTGTTAGTCTAATTATTTGAATAGCACCTGCTGTTCTTAATATCATATTTTCTGGTAAATTTGAATGAGTGCAGGCAGAACTTGGAAGGCCGAATGCGTTGCAACCTGACAAAGGAAAGGTCGTTGTGAATGTTGATTGCAGTCCCACTGCAGCACCAATGTTTGAGGTTAACAAGTATTATCCGCTTCCTTCTCATGTTTTACTTTGTCAATTGACGCTTACATCTTGGTTTCTGCAAGATCCTGTAGAAAGTACAACTATTGATTTAGTGGAATTCATGCTCTGATAAAATACGAAGGAACTAAATATCGAATTCTGCCCATTTTTTGTCTATTCTTCTAATCCTATTAGGCAATCTGAACTTTTCTTGTTGGTGTACATTGCAAAGGTTGAATGTCTATTTTTTCTTTGTAGGACATATGTGTTTATTCTTTTTGTAATGCTGTTGTTTTGTTACATTTCTACAGGGTAGAGGGGGTGAGGAGCTGTCAGCAGAACTCGCAGTTGCTCTTCAACGTTGTCTCTTGGGCGGTAAAAGTGGATCTGGTCTGTATTCTTATTGAAGAGCTTAGCATAATAAATTTTTTGTGACATTTATGTATTATCTCTTTTGGCAATACATATTTCTCAGTTGTACATGCATTTTCATATAACTGCAAAGTCGATAATATATATAGATGTCTTTGTTTGTCCCAGGTGCTGGAATTGATCTCTCCTCTCTGGTAGTTGTGGAAGGAAAGATCTGTTGGGATCTTTACATCAACGGCCTTGTTGTTAGTTCAGATGGGAATCTGCTAGATGCCCTAGGTGCTGCTATAAAGGTATTTGATAATTCTTATTTGTTTGACATGCTTAATTAATTTCTGTTCTGCAAATAAGGACAACTGAAGAGTTTTCTGGCTGTTGGTAAAGTTTAGTATTATGTGGCCAAAGAAAAGTCCAGTGGCATGACTTATCTTTTAAAGAAACTGATGTTCCCAAAGGCTGCTTTGAGCAATACAGGCATCCCAAAAGTAAATGTTGCAGCTGGTGCATCAGGCGATGATCAACCAGAGGTTGACGTAAGCGATGAGGAATTTCTGCAATTTGACACATCTAGGGTCCCTGTCTTAGTTACATTAACAAAGGTGACATGATTTAACCATCTCTTCTGTCCTTCTGCAAACTGCAAATGTTTGTTGCCTTGAATTGATTCCTTCCCATCTGTTTCTCAGGTAGGCAGGCACTATATTGTAGGTGCCACTTCAGAAGAGGAATCACAAATGTGCTTGGCTGTTTCTATTTCCATCAATAGGCAAGGCCACATTTGTGGGTTGACAAAACGGGGAGGTGCCGGCCTAGATCCAAGCATCATTCTTGGCATGATATCTGTGGCAATAACAGTAAGTGAGCAGCTGATAAACACATTGGATTCTCATATAGCTGCTGCTGAAGCTGGGTGAGAGGAGACGTGGCATAATCAGAATCTCTGATACATTTAAGTAGGTGGGTTCGTGTGGGTCCTAGGTATATGAAAATTGTAATGCTGATAATTTTACTTAAAGCTGATGAGAACGTTTGATTTGTCTTTTAACCAAAATTAGTATGGGTCTATTGCTTTGCTGATATTATTTTGCATTGATGCACTAATTAATTCTTCAATTAGACTTGCCATCTACCGCAGTTACGTGCATTGATGTGCCATTAAAATGTTTGAATGTATTCGCTGCGCGGCTATGCTACTGAAATGTCAGGATGTGTTGAAAGAGTATCGCCGAGCGGCTATACAATTAAAATATTTGAATGTATTGCAAGAGTATAGCCGCGCGGCTGTACCATTAAAATATTCTAATGTATTCAAAGAGTATAGCCGACCGGCCATACTATTAAAATATTCAGAAGTATAGCCGGGCGACTATACCATTAAAATATAACAATATATTTAAAGAGTATAGCCGTACGGCTATAATATTAAAGTGTTATAATCAAAGAGTATAGCCGAGCGTCCGTACTATTAAATATTCGAAATATTTAACGTGTACAGTCGCACGCTATACCGTTAAATATTCGAATATTTATTTTATTTTATTTTGTTTCGAAAATATTTGAACAGTATTAGCAGCTTTTCTTTATTCCCCAGAATCATGGGCTGCAAGCTTCTTTCGCAATCCCACCGGCTCGTCCCCCGCATCACATATATGGGCAGAAGCTTGCCTGTCAGATAAAGTTGCCCCTTCCATGATGTCTATATAATCCTGTAAAAGGTACAGCCATTTAGAATTAACAACACTTAAACAATAAAGCATTCAATTTTCCTTGTTCTGAAATAGTATATATATTTACAGAACCTTCACTTCAAAAAGAAAACGGTATATGCACTTAGGAAAACTAAGATAACATGCAGTCACCCCTAGAATCACAAAAATGCTCATTTTGAAATATGAAGATTTTATTATATATTCGAAGAAATCGGAGCTCATTTAAAAAGTACAAGGAAGATGATAAGGTTGCATTATTAGTCTCTCTGTCTGTCTTTTCTAGCATTGTAGTTTCTGGTTTTGTACAATGCAACTCTTTTCCCAACTCTGTCACATGATGATGGGCTTGAGTGAGAATCCTTGTGTTGTAATGTAACTGTACTTAATTTTAATTGCAGAAGATGTATCCTTGTTCTGAAATTAATAGATTTGTACAATCTTCACTTAAAAAAGGAAAAAGGCAGAGAAAATACTGCTCCAAATTGCATGGATAAACCATCACAACATCAAATACTTAGATCAAGTTATGATGATTATGCGTGCACAAATAGGAAAACTAATATGAACAGACATGCAGTCAACCCTAAGACCACAGAAATGCCCCAGCAAGTCTTCCAACACAAGCTCATCGGAGTATAAGAATTGGATGGTTTAGTCTGCAGCTCAAAACGTAGAGCATATATCAGCAAATAATCAGCATACTGTATTCTCATTTGGTCATGCCGGTCTATTTCTACCACATCAAATCATATTCCTGAGGCTTCTGCAATATTATCAGCATACTATTGCTAGAACAAGAAGAAGCCCATGTAATAAGATATGCTTAATATTCCAAAACCACCATGAGGATTCTGAAATGACCATGAATCTCTATCATATCTTCGCAAGAAATTTTTTTAAAAGAAGTCTGAGTAATGGCAGAAGGCATCTTCTGGTACTCTTTCTCCATATTAAATGAAATAAATTACCTCAAAGATTCATAAACTAGTGGAGGGATCTAGTAGACAGTAGATTGTGAAATTATTCGCATACATTTTTAGCCAACGAGATTATCAGCATACTTTAAAGTGCAAAACAAGTAAGAAACAAGGTGAAGAGTAGTAAGGAAATCCACAAGGAAAAAAATAGTAACAAGCTCTGCGAGTTCATACTTGAACTGCATCAAGTGGTAACAGAGCGTCCTTTCTGCATTTTGCATCCTTCCTTGAGTTTAAGCAAAGAGCTCTCACATAGCAGATGCTGCACGTGCCCTGGACAAAGCAAAAATGATGCGCTTTGATGAGAATAGTAGAAACTTCAATGCTCAAGTGTTGGAACATAAAAATACACTTCAGAATTTTAAACATTAATATTTAAAAGGCTATACTATTTAAATTGCAGTTTCTGAGAGTGAATCCAGAAGCAGGACTCTTCTTGTTTGATTCTAGTTATCGCCGATGTATTAGTGAGCAGAATTTTACAGCCTGCGTATTGAACTGCAGAATGGTATATGCTACAAGAAGGTTTCTTTTTCCTTAGGCTCCTTTGTGTAATGTATGTATTCGAATGATTATTTAACTGATTGATATTTTTTCTGCCAGGTTGTTGACTCACTCAGGCAAGGTTAACATGCAATGGTATTCGTTCATTCTCGAAAGGACACAGCAACAACAGCTCAAAAATTGGTATACGTTTATATTCCATCTTATTTTGTATGATACGTTTCCTTTGGATGATACGTCTTCTTTTGTATGATATGTTTCCATTATAGTCGCAGGCTTGACTCTATAAATAGAAATTATAAACGTACAGCTGCACGGCTAACGTTCAAATATTTTAAAAGTACAGCCGAGCGGTTATACGCTTTGAATATGTTCGAACGAACACGAAGTTTGCACTCTCAGCGGACGGAACTTTCTATCGCAGTCACTGCTTCGTCCTCCGGGTTCGGCACCGAAAAAAGACCCAACCCGCCTATGCCACACCCGAGCCCGCGGGCCCCCGTGCCCACCGCCAAGCCGCCTAGCCACCTCCTAGCCACCGCCTAGCCGCCTAGCGCCTGCCTAGCAGCCGCCTAGCCGCCTCGCACCCGCCTCGCCACCGCCCCGCCGCCCCGCCCCCGCGCGCG